TAGCTGTAATGTATGCTTTGCTTACATGTTCGCATAACTTGGAAGTTTACTGACATTTACATACCTTGTTTACCTGGCTCAAGTCGTGGCTCTGGGGTTGTTGTGTGAGCCACCACTTGAGAATTGTCGTCTTTTTTAAGAAAAAGTGTTCTTATGTCCATCTTCAAAAACTCTGAGTCCCACTGACAGTTTATTTTAAACATTGTCACAGCTCACAGGATTGGTACCTGTCAGCCAATAAATCAGATGTTTATTTCCATTCAACTCTCTGGTTGGTCTGGTGTCTTGCCTCTGTTGCATTCACTGAACACGGGAAATTACAATCCTGCCGTCCTCTCTAGTGTCATGATGAGGTTCAGGTAAAGCACGGTTAATGTATTATATTATTGACTCAATAATATAATACATGACTTTGAAAGTAGGCAATCTAGGCATATTAACACAATTAATTAAACCTACATATCACGGCGACGGTGTACTGAGATTTCTTTTTTTTTTATTTAAAAAAAAAAAAAAAACTTTTTTTTTTTTTGCTAGGGGGCCTCTTAGTGGCTGCGGGGCCCTAAGCGGCCGCTTATGTCGCTTAATGGGTCGGGCCGGCTCTGACATGGACTATCAAAATTGAAACCAAAGGAGTCTATCAAAATATACTTAACAAGTTCAAGGAATGACTGGCAGGCTTGACGAGACAAGACAAACTGGCACAGGACAAAGGGAGACGCAGACTATATATACACACTAGGTAAGGGGACACAGGTGGCAACAATTAAGGGAGGGGCTGACAATCACACTGGAGGGAAAAACACACAAGGGCAGGAATGGCTCTGAAACGAGAGGGAAAGGTTACTCCAAAATAAAACAGGAATTCACAAGACAAAAAGACTGAACTAAATGAATTAACTTAACATAAATGTCTAGACACCACATGCCTCTACAGTCTGAAAGCCAGTGATGGTGGAGGAGAACTGTGAACAAAAGAGCTGGTTTCACCGCGGCAGGAAAACTCTTTGCTCTATAAACAAGTTTATTGTTGCGTTTTCCAGGCGTTTTCGTCTACAGTATTAGCGTCTTGGGTTATATTGATGATAACTATAGGCATTCCATTGACTTTTATACAGGAGAATGTATGTTCTTCTTTCTACCAATCAAGTGATTAAACTACTGGTGCATTTTATCCATCACCATATTTAAAAAATAAATAAATCTGATTTTATGTTTAATTAGCATTTTGAAATGATCTGACACTGCACTGGTACAGTGGTACAATAACATGACTTCAGGGCTTGATGAAAAAGTAAAGGGATCAGCAGGGACCATTATGATGAATGTTTTTCCAAAACTTAACAGCAATCAATTCATAAGTTGCTGAGATACTTCCTTCTTGTTGGTTAACCAATATTACAATACCCCGAAAATAGCAAAACTGCTAAGGATCAGATCACCCTGCTATTATCATACCCGATTTTAACAAGCCTACCATGGTCAAGTCTCAGTGATATTCAAATATACAATTGTACATTTTGATTTGATGCAGACCCGGCGCCGTGGGAGGGCCATTTGACATTCCTGCCCTCCCCCAATAAACACGTTTTGTTTTATGTATAAAACATTTATTTTTTTAATTATAAATAAACTGTGAACTTTAATGCTAGGATGTATGTGATGTCAGATAGTAATATAAGAGTAATACATGAAAAACAGGTATAAAATACGATATGACAGTAAAATAAGAATACAGTTTAAAAGGAGAGTGATTTGTAAAATATCCATAAAGAAAAAGAAAATCTGTTTACAGTTCTGTTTCATATGGAGAGCATGCCCCCGGACCCCCCTAGCAGAGGTGAGGTCCACCCCCAACTTTAAAAAATGGCACTTTACCCCTGCTTACACCTATATGCCGTGAGCTGATTATCGAGCCTTCATTGTAACAGTCGCGGGTATACTGTGTATGTGCGTGTGGGAAGTGTTGTCCACTGTAGCGCCCGGTACATTAATGGGAAACCCTACATGTTTGAGCACCCTCTATGAAACGTCAAGCTACCCCACAGCACCCCCAAAAGAAAATCTCTGGCGCCACCACTGGCCGCTGCACATGACGGTTTTGTGTGCCCTCCCATGAAAATCATATGCCCTCTCTGTAGATTTGTTCTGGCGCCGGGTCTGCTTTGATGGTGCACAGATCTTGTAGCAGTGTGAGGCGTGTGTGTGGTGCAGCCTGCTACTGGTAGTGTGACTGCTCTCTCTGTGGAGGTGATGGAGTGTGTCTTACCTGCAACAAGCCAAAGAAAGCAATTGTGCCGCTGATTGATGGAGTTTCTCAGTGCAGTGCGGCGTCTGCGCTCTCTGGCTTAAATCAATCTGTTTATTTAGCTTCTGTCAAATTGATCATCTGAAAATGCAAACAGATATCTTCTAAGCAAGACATTGCTATAAGTTACAAATCACAAGCACAGCGACTAGTGTCTAAGTGTTTCCTTCTGCTTTTAGTGGCATTCTGGGTAAATATGTTTGATAAAGTTCTCAAAAAGACACGCACAGAGAAAACTTCTGAAGCCTGGCTTTTTATTTACACTGCAAATCAATTACAATTTTATTTTTCCTTTAACCCTCTATCATTCATGATCTTTTATTTAAACTGGACAGCAACACAAATCAACCACAGCTGCAGGAACCTACTCTACCTCTTTGTATTTTATGAAGATTTCGAGAATAGTAGATGGGTAAAAGTGAGTTTTCGGCTTTGAGTGTCACAATCAGACTTTTATTCCAACAGTAGAATAAATACATCCATGTTTGGTTCAAGTGGAAAAATAACCTTGGACACAGGACTGTTTACATGTTGACAGATACATGTAAAGGTTACTCTTTCACTATGCGAGGAACCGATTTGTCAGAACCTACCAAGCAGTGGCGTAGCCACCATAGGGCCAGGGCCCAGGCCCGCCCAGTTTACTCATTGGCCCGCCCTGAGAAAGCTTTGGTGTAATTTTTATTTATTTTTGTATTATTACTATACATTTTTGTATTCACCCATTGAGAATATCCAAGCATTCAAAGTGAAATTCAAGTGAACAAATATTGAGTTGAATTAATGTTGTATGTGTTTTATCCTCTGAACGGAACTAATTTCCGGTAAAAACTGGTTGAGGTGGTATGAAGATTTTCCCTGGGTGGAATACAGCGCAAGTAGGCACGCAATTTTCTGTAAAATGTGCAGACATTTCCCCAGCCCAGAAAGGTGCATTTATGAGGGATGGATATGTAGACTTGAAGCACCTGCGTAACTCGTTGGAGAGACATAAAAAAAGTGAGGACCACTGCAAGTCCATGAGCAGATTTGAATGCTACAACCTATTGTTGCTGTTACCTAGTGCAATACAAGAGTAAATAACCGAATTTGTGTTCTGTGAAGCTGAAAAGGATATTAGATTGTTTTTGTTACTTTCGTTGCAGTTGTAAATATGTCTTAAATGTAATTTAGGTTAACTTCCTGTGTTATATACTCAGCCCCTCTCTCTGTAACTGGTTGCTGGACTTCCTAACAGAGCTGTACGGGTCAACAATAACACCTCAAACACCCTCATACTGAGTACGGGGGCCCCCCAAGGATGTGTGCTCAGCCCCCTTCTCTTCACTCTGCTGACCCACGACTGCAAACCCATCTTCAGCACCAACCACATCGTGAAGTTTGCAGACGACACTACTGTGGTGGGTCTCATCAGCAACAACGATGAGACTAACTACAGGAAGGAAGTGAACCAGCTCGCCCTGTGGTGCCAAAATAACAACCTCTTCCTCAACCTGGAGAAAACAAAGGAGATAGTTGTTGACTTCAGGAGAACCCACCGTCGGCCCCCTCTCCCCCTGACCATCAACGGTGCTGCTGTGAAGCAGGTGACCAGCACCAAATTCCTTGGGGTGACCATCACTGATGACCTCACCTGGAAAATCAACACAACCGCACTTGCGAGGAAAGCCCAGCAGCGCCTGTACTTCATCCGGAAGCTCAAGCGGGCCGGAGCATCACCCCCCATCGTGCTGTCCTTTTATCGAGGCGCCACCGAGAGCATCCTCAGCAGCTGTATCACGCTGTGGTTCGGAAGCTGCACCGCCGCCGACCGCAAGAGCCTGCAGCGCATAGTGAACTCTGCCCAGAGGATCATCGGTGCCTCGCTCCCCTCACTACAGGACATATACCACACCCGCCTCACCCGCAAAGCACTCAGCATTGTGGGTGACTCCACCCACCCCTCCAACAGCCTCTTCGGCCTCCTGCCTTCAGGAAGAAGGTTCCGCAGCCTCAGCTCGGGCACCGTCTGGCTGGGGAACAGCTTCCTCCACCAGGCGGTCAGGATGCTGAACTCTCTCCCCTCCCTACCTCCCTCTCTCCCCCCCTCTGACATCTCTCCCCTGAACTCTCCACCCTGCCTCCGACCTTTCTCCCCTGCCCCAAATGGTCCTGGACTCTAACACACACACACACACACACTTTTTGTTTTTGTTGTTGTTTGATGTATATATGTCACACTGTAGGACCTCGAGAAACGATATTTCGATATTTCTGGATGTACAACATGCACTGATAAAAGTATTTCATTCAACCAATTTAAAAAATGTAGGGTAATGGTTCACATCTATACTCTATAGCTTGAGCCAATGAAAAATAAATAACTTGCCTCAAACAATATTTCTTATGTCCATGGAAACTATTATATAAGACTTGGCACAAAGTATATTTTCTTGTTGAAGGAAGTCAATTAATTTAAATTCTATATTTAATCCAAACAAACAAATATAGATTTTATCAAACAGTTTTTTCTCGTTAAAATTAACTAAATATTATTTGTTTTATCCAATCAAAAATGTATACATTTTGTTAAACTATAATTTTCTCATTTAATCTAATCCAAAAATATATAGATTACATCAATAATTCTCATTACACATTGTGATATTTAATAACGGGTTTATTACTTATAAAACAAACAAATTTACAGGGTATCTGCATTGTTCAAATAAAATGTAACAATTTAAAATACATAGAAAAACTGCACCGCAGTTGTATGCCTAAAGGCATAAAAATGAAAAATAATTCTTGCCAGAAAACAGTCAAGTTTCTCAAGGGTCAGATTGGAACTTTGAAGAGCTGGCAGCCAAACATATTGACCTTTGAAACCAAATGCGTACGCAACTTGCGTACTCTACCAGCCAGAGCAGAGCCCATCAGTGCCACAGGGTAATTGCTATGACAGTTTTTATATTTTCAAACAGTTGAACTTCAGAATGACGAACCATAACTAGTCACACAACAGGTGTGTAACCTTTTCATTCTCCAGGACAGTCACATACGTTTTCTGTGACTTGTTATTGTCTTTATAATTTTCCATTACTGGAAAACTTGGACGTGTAGGAAACCTGAACTAAGCTCTATTGTAGAGCTGGTCATAGAGCTTCTTGACCTTGGTGGCCATGCCTTTCGGGTCCAGCTCCATGAAGACTTTCTGGATATATTCAAATGTCAATTTTAATGTCTTGGGATATTCCAGATTGAGAGCATAAAGGAAGCCCAGGAGAATGGCGACAGCATTTGCAACAGACGCCAACTTATTCACAACCTCTTGTCCCTCAAGAATGATGCCAATGTCTTCGGTTGCGGCTTGTGCATCTCTGATGACGAAGATTGCGATGGTTTCCCGCTGAAGAATTTGTCCAGCCTCATCCTTCTCCGACACCTGGAAAATAATTTAGGAAAAAAGAATCTGAAATCAATATAGCTCGGGTTTCCCCCCAGATGAATAGCCTAACTGTTAAGACATATCGTGGACGTCCTGGAAGGCCATAATTGGCTGTAAGAAGGAATTGTATCGTGATGCATAGCTTTGGCTCTTGTCTGTAGCTATTGTCTGAGCCAACACATCCTCACTCCCAGGTCGGCCTATGTTGACGTTATGTCAAGTCCCCTGTCGGCTTTTTCCAACGCAAGGGGGGGGCCTTAGAGTCCATTTTCAACGCAAGGGGGGGGCCCTTAGCGTCCATTTTCAACTTTCCGGGATGTCCATATGCTTCTATGGACGCTCATGGAAGCACGGCATTCGTTTGTGTCGACTGCCCTTAAAGGCAATGAGAGCGTCCATTCTCATTGGATAACGGAGAATTGTACAACCGGAAGTAAGTATTCCCATTACTGACGATTGATTTTACAGTGATATCTGCACTACTCATCGACTAAAAAACACCAGATTATCCTTGTTAATTACACAACATTGATTGGTTTAAATTGTGTGCAATGCTTTTGTATTTTTCCCCTTCGATTCGGAGAAACAAATCTTTTTTCGGAGTAAAGGATGGCAGAAGACACTACACTACCCAGAATCCCCAGCTATCGTTTGGACCCACGCCATGTGCTCTGTTTGACAAACCCCGTGATAGTCCTCAAGCTCTGTGATTGGAGAGTGTGCTCCGAGGGTTACCGAGCCTCGAACAGCACTTGAAATGGGATGGAACCACGGCAGACTGTTCAAAACTGGATTTGAACGGGTCCACCGCGTCCCCCCCTCCCCCACCCAGTCCCCAGAACTACACATGCTGGCTATTCTGTTTCGCAACATGTTCTCTATCTATGGCACGTCTCTACTGGGAGTTGTAGTTTTAAAAGACGTTTTCGTATTTCCCATAATAAGAAGTTGCCAGTATTAAACTGTGTACATCCCTGGAGGTTTAGGGGATAGGAAACACTCACATTTAACATATAATTAATAAATGGGTGAAAATTGCTCGTGCCCATAATGGGCAGCATTAATATACACACATGCCAGCTAAGGTCAGAAGAGCTTTATTTAACAGCTGGTCTTATGTTTGTGACCCCTCCTCTTGTTCATTGATAACATTACATTACATTACATTACATTACATTAATTGATAAGCCTGAAACATGCACTTGTCAAGGTTCAGAGGCAAATTTTGCAAATATGGCAGTAGCCATTGATCAGCTTAAGTTTAATACTGGCAACTTCTTATTATGGGAAATACGAAAACGTCTTTTAAAACTACAACTCCCAGTAGAGACGTGCCATATAGAGAACATGTTGAGAAACAGAATAGCCAGCATTTGTAGTTCTGGGGACAGGGTGGGGGAGGGGGGGACGCGGTGGACCCGTTCAAATCCAGTTTTGAACAGTCTGCCGTGGTTCCATCCCATTTCAAGTGCTGTTCGAGGCTCGGTAACCCTCGGAGCACACTCTCCAATCACAGAGCTTGAGGACTATCACGGGGTTTGTCAAACAGAGCACATGGCGTGGGTCCAAACGATAGCTGGGGATTCTGGGTAGTGTAGTGTCTTCTGCCATCCTTTACTCCGAAAAAAGATATGTTTCTCCGAATCGAAGGGGAAAAATACAAAAGCATTGCACACAATTTAAACCAATCAATGTTGTGTAATTAACAAGGATAATCTGGTGTTTTTTAGTCGACGAGTAGTGCAGATATCACTGTAAAATCAATCGACAGTAAGGGGAATACTTACTTCCGGGTGTACAATTCTCCGTTATCCAATGAGAATGGACGCTCTCATTGCCTTTAAGGGCAGTCGACACAAACGAATGCCGTGCTTCCATGAGCGTCCATAGAAGCATATGGACATCCCGGAAAGTTGAAAATGGACGCTAAGGGCCCCCCCCCTTGCGTTGAAAATGGACGCTAAGGGCCCCCCCCTTGCGTTGGAAAAAGCCGGCAGGGGACTTGACATAACGTCAACATAGGCCGACCTGGGAGTGAGGATGTGTTGTCTGAGCACGTCTTTAAACACTACTAGGACTGCCTATTGGTTACTCGCTGTGTTGGTGACATGTGAATTTGACTTGTACTCCTATTACACTTGTTGTTAGTCACTCTGGATAAGAGCACCTGCTAAATAACTAAAATGTTATGTAAAATGTAACACACATCATATAAAATGGACAGCCTTAGCTAGAATTTTAACACCTCAACAGTAATCTTGCCTCACCAGGAATTCTTTGATCAGGTCCTCCACCGATTCTCCCATGTTGAGGATGAGACATTTGAGAGCAATCTCCCTCTTTGTAGTGGTGTCAGTATCCTGCATGAAGACAGTCACAATAATTAATGTTAATTGTTCAGTTCGTCCATTCAATCAGTGCGAGTGTGCCACGGTTTCTTAATGTGGGATTGAGAGCTAGTGTATGAAGGAATGAATGCATGGGAATGAGCTTTAGGTGATAAATGAGTAAGGATGCATTTAGACAGTAGAGACATGAAAAAAGAGCATAGTTTGGCGTGAAGGTAGGGCTGGACACTTTCATATCAGTCGATAAAATAATGATTACAATATCAGTCAATTAGTGTGTCAACCATATTAAGGCCATGAAAAAACAGCCAAGAATTCCCATTACGCCAAAATGAATGTCTAAACATGTAGATGAACATGAAGAATGAATGTGCCAAGTCTATGAAACCTCTGGCTAAAAGGTTGCTGTGTCGGATCAGTGACCAATGCTATAAATAATTGATTATGTATTGAAAGATATATCTATTGTTATTGAGGCATATGTAAGTGAGCAGTAAAGTAAAAAACATCTGTACATACCGTTTCCACAAATGGCAGGAGCTTTGTCTTCTCCCGGATAGCTCCACCCTTCTTTCTGACGACTTGAATTAGTTCACTGCACTTCTCGTCAAGTTTCTGCATGAACCTTGCTTCAAGGGGTATTGTGGTTACTCTGATGAATTCTTCATTCACCTAGGGAATATAGGTAGTATAGGTATATATATATCAAAAACAGACAAAGGATATGTGCCTCATGCAAAAGCATGTGATTTAGCTTTACGTACATTTGATTACACACACATATACATACATACATACTATGAGTAAAGTTAGTGTACCTCTTGAACTTCGAAGAGTGCTGGCCATCTCTCGATCATTTCGTGCAAAGATGTTTTCTTGTCGACAATTTCTTGCCTCCGAAATGCGAACGTCCGAGCCATCTTCTGTCTTATTGTTTGGACATTGTTCCTTTTCTTTACCTCAGACAAGAGGGCCACTCTCTCTTGCTCCATGGACTCTGGTGTCTCGTTGAAAGGCAGAGATGGGTAATGGTTAGACTCAGCTCGCCTAGGTTTCTTTATGTTCTTTGCTGGGTGGGCATCAGTCAGCAACTTTCTTTTCAGAGTATTCACAGTCAGCTCGTCAGATGATGAACTGTGTGATTTCAGGTATGTGCGATAGTTGTACATCTTCGTCTTGAGTCTCTGTTTCCATCCGTAACTGTGGTTGAAGGACCCAGGTTCTTTCAGACAGGGGTGTGTCTGTGTGAGTGCCTCTGCCACTTCACTGAAGTCTGCATCGCTAGGATAGGATTTGTATGAATAGACTTTGTCAGCGAGCGTTTCCAGTATGTTGGAAAGCATTTTAGAGCTGGGAGTGAGTCTAACCTGGCTTCTCTGGTACTCTGCATTTCCATCCCTAAGTTGTGTTTCTGTTGAATGAGAGAAAGTAGGGATGAGGAACACCTTGGGCCACTGCTCCTTTCTGTAGGTGTCCGAAGAAGGGCTGCTTACGGGTAATGTGTCACCCGAGCATGCAGATGAAGACATACTGGAATCATCTTGGCGTTGAAAATTAGCCTTATCCACTGGCTCTAAGAATAAAGTCACACTGGGTACTACATTAATAACTTTCAAAGTGGCAAGATGCTTGAGTTCTGAAGTTGAAGTTAAGTTAACCCAAGTTCCGAAATCAGGGTCATTGTATTGAAGCCGTATTTCATTAGTTAGACCACAGGAATTATTTATTTCTTGGATGACTTCGTCAACCGAGGAGGGGATGCCATTAGGAAGCTCCAGCTTGATGCGACTGTCCTCTTCTAAAATCACCAGGAGCCGCGTGACGCCCGCCATGTTTGGAGATCCTCTGAGTGGGAGGGAAAGAAAGCAGGGTGGGGTTTGGAGAGAGAGAAAGAGATATTAGAGATGTGCTTTGTTCATGGTTGACTAATGATTGTGTGCTATGAACAAATAGTTTTACGTGCAACATTAGCTTTGTTGAATTTAAATGATATGATCATTCATGTTAATTACAATGAAAACAAAATTAACCTGCATAATTCATCACATCCACTTTGCTTCTGACCCACCCCAAACAGATATTACTTTATGCTAACCTTAACCTTGAATATATCGCTTGAGTGTAATAAGCCGCATGGCCCCAACTGTGTAGTCTGCCAGGGGGTAAGGATCGGTCAGTTGAGATGCCTCAAAAACTTCAATCTCCTTTGAAGGCGAGATTTCGAGTTGATAGGCTCTGTAGTGTTCCATGTACCAAGAGCCTAGTTTCCGAACAATGAAGACCAATTCCTTTTTGAGAACCACCATCTGGATGATTTCCGTGAATGCAGGCATCCCTCTGATTGATCCACGAGCAAGGATCATTCCAAGTCTGTAGTTAAATCCGTTATTGATGACATTTTCGGCCAAAGAAACTTCCTTCACATTTGGGTTCTTGTGTTTGACAGCCTGTTTAATATCATCTTTCAGGACGTCAATGCTAACAGTTGAGAACTTTTTCACTTCCAGTAGAGGCTTAGGAAATCTACATGAGTAGAGCTGGTGTGCCATGGATAACTGGTGTCTCTCTGCCAAGGACAACAACAAGTTTTTAAAGCAGCTAGTGTGTCGTACAACTCTCTTAAAAAAGCTATGCTTGGCTTCAAATCTTAAAGTCCAGAGAGAAACTAGAGGACCAAACTGATAGATTAGCTGTGGGTAGTGTTCCAAGAAGTGATGCTTAGGAAGCAAGTTGGAGTCTGGGAAAACCTCCTTAAACCGTACTCTATGCTCAGAGATTTTGAAATTCAAATAAGCTATCGTTTCGTCAGTGTGCACCGGTGTGACAACAAGGTCAACTATGTCCTTCAAGTCAGTGAGGAGATTCCAGGCAGGTTCATCAGCAGGCACTTTCTGTCCCAGGAGGAGCGGCAAAAACCTGATCAAACTCCAATTCTCGTGAGAATTGCCACCAACTGTTCTCCTTGTTGCATAGGTAAGAGGCACAGGATGGGGACAGTTTGTTTTATCTGTCCACTTGAAGGGGAACGTTTTTATAGAGTCATTCAAAAATTCCAAAGTAAAGTACTTCTTCGAGGTGAACACAGAGAGACAAAGAGCTATTTCACGAGGAACAATTCCTTCAAATAGATCATGAACGATGTCTGGAGGAAAGCCAGTTGTGACATTAAAATGAGCAAGTTTTTCCGACAAAACACACCTCCTCTTAACACCAAAACAATTGGCCAATGATTCTTCCTCAAGTGTTTTAAGATGTCTTGCGTGACCCTCCTCTGTCCTCAAAGAGAATGCTCCACTTCCTACGTCCCTCGTTTGAAAATCTAATTTCCGAGCTGTACAAAACCTACAAACATAAGCACTCGAAAAACTCTCCACAAAACCAGCAAGACTATGAGCACCTAGGTTGTCAGCAACAACACATTGCACTGTTCCCTTTACACATTTTCCTAACTTGGCCACAAATATTCCATGTTGCTCTAAAATAATGATGTCATTAATCAAAGGTTCAAGAACTGCCTTGTATCCATACAACTTTACATCATCACTTTTGATCAATGCAGCCAAGTAGATTGATGACAATGAAGAGTGTGAACCAGGTGGAAGATTGCCTAAAATCCAGTATATGGCACAGATTTTATGTATTTTGCGCGAAGTCCCAAGGGGATTACAAACCTCAAAATCATCTATGTACAGAATTAATGAAACTGCACACTCATTTGATAAAAGACTGTTTTCTTTAAAGTTCGCACCATCCCAGAGACATCTGTATACCTGCCTCTCACTTGACACTGATTGAAGTTTCTCTTTTAAATTAACTGCATTGCTGAGGATAGTCTCACAATTCAAAACCTGCTGCAACGTTTTTAGTACAGGAATATATTGAAAAGGCCTTCTGTTCTTTCGGTCAATTACATATTCTACTGGTTCCACTACACAGAACTTACTTTTATGATATTTGTTGCGCCTCCATGCAGTAGATAATGGGCCTTCTTTTCCAATAACAAGTTGAATAGGATGTGAGGTACAGAGTTCTGTCGCTAACTCCTGGACAAGTGATTCATCTACCCGACAGTTATGATCCACAAAAAACTGTGTGATAGTCTCCTGAGTGACCGGCACAGACACAGTCCCAATGAGATATTGCAGTTCCTCAAGGAGTATATTTACAGCTGCACTTGACACCAGGTAGCTATGTTCCAATTTCAGTAAAACTGAGGCTAATTTTAGCTCAACATCTTTTCTCAAATCTCTAGGTTCTTCAAAAGTTGGTTCTTCAAATTGTAAATCCTCATTTAACTCAGTGTCTCTGTTAACTGACTCCAAAGCAGAAGGATTGAAGAGTGATCTGTGAACTATTCCAGGTTTTAAATCTCTAACTGTACACACTTTGTGTTTTCTCCATTTATGAGTGTGGAAACTTCCATATATGTTGGTTTGATATGAACAATCAACATAAATACAAGGAACTAATTCATTATTTTTCAAATGTTGGCCAATGTGGTGAAAAAAGTCTGTTTCAGTAGTAAGTTGATTTTCGTCACAAAGATGGCACTTAAAATGTGAGATATCTGCTCTTGAGGATGGCTGAGAAGGGTGTTGTGTACAAAGATGCTTCAGTAGTGCATTCCATGTTTTACATGAAAATGGGCAGTTTTCATATAGGCAGGGATAAGAATGGTGCCTTCCATAATGTTGATGATCTAGTCTATAATGTTTTAGCAGTTCAGATCTTCTGGTACATGAATAGCCACAGTCCTTGCATCTCCACATCCATCAAATAACCAATAACTCCCCCCACCACCATTGAAAAATGAAATCCCCAAAAAAGCAAAAATCCCCAAAAAGTTTCTACTGTATGTCCAACCGTAACAGCAGCGATGAGAGGGTTGAGGCTGAATATATAGATGTTTCCACTCGAGAAAATCAATATCCTAGATAGGAGTGAGAGGAGTCTGAAAGAGGGAGAAAAAAAGAGAGATTAACTCATAGTCTTCAAAAACATCACCAATATAAATGATCAAATCAATGGCAGAATATGATTTAACTTTAATGCAATCAATATAGTTGTTGAAGACCTTTGTGTGCGTTCATCTAGCTATATTTTGTATCTACGATTGTACACACCTATAGTAAGGTTAACTTAACAGTGTTTTTCGATTGGAAATTTCATATCTTGTTTGTCAAATTGACATTACATTACAAATTGCTGGGTGCGCCATTGTCTTTATCATTTTGAGATGCTCAGATCAGAGCAGACTCTTCTCACCTCCCATCTTAGTTGTTAATATTATTAGCAGGGTGGGCAATTATTTTTCCTGGGGGGCAAAATGAGAAACCCAGATTGTTGCAGGGTGCCAAACAAATGAAACTCAGGAGTAACCGCTAAGTTTATCACTAAATTAAATTAATAAAACATACTGTGCACTTATTTTTCAGGATGTATTATATTGGAAATCACACCACCCAGCATCTTATTAAGATAATTACATTATATGCAGGAGTCTTTGAACCAACTGCAAAACATTTTCCATTAACAAAACAAAAAATCTCTCAGCATGCCAAAAGATAAAAACATGCACTGCAGGTCCAAAAAGCGAGGTTGAAAAATAAAACTTGAAGTTGAATTAGAACCACCATGCGGGCCGGGCCGGGACCGCATGGTGGTATGCTAGCTGCTTGCTTGCTAGCTAGCTAATAGCTAATTAACGTTACCACTGTAAAATAAGTCACGGATAAAATGAGTTAATTTATGTAACGATTTACCAACGTCGACATCACATATTGTTACCAAGTCCAAGTGTATAGTTAAACTAAACTAAGTTTAAGACTTACCAACATGGACATCACGTAATGTTAGCAAGTGTAACGTTAAACTAAAATAAGTTTAACATTTACCAATGTCGACATCAAATAATGTTACCAAGTACGTTTGCAGAGAAATGGCAAAATATATAGCACGGAAAAATAAAACTTGAAGTTGAATTAGAACCACCATGCGGGCCGGGACGCATGGTATGCTAGCTAGCCAGCTAATAACATGGTGGTATGCTAGCTGC